TGTGTGTGTGTGTGTGTGTGTGTGTGTGTGTGTGTGTGTGTGTGTGTGTGTGATGGGAAGGGCGGGGTGATGAAGTGAATGAAGAGGGAAAGCCAGAGAAGGAGGGAAGGGCGGAGGAAACCCAGGAGAACTGAGGACTCTGGGCCCCAGGCCTTCAGATCGCTGTCTGGGCGCAGCCCTTCCCTGTGGGGGGCAAGGCCGAGGGGCCCTCACCCCTGTTTGCTCCCTTCTTTCCCTCCCCCTTTGGTGTCTCCAGCCGGGGGTGGAGGTGGGGGGGCAAACAGGCAATGAGACAGCATCTCTGCGCAGGCTGCCCTTTTCCCGGCCAGTCGGCCCCAAGTTCCACTTACCTTCCAGGTTCCAGTGAGAAGAACCTGTTTCATAAATGGCCAGTGCGTTAGCTTGTATTTAGTAAGTAACCCAGAAGGGGCTCTGAAACACCAGGAGGGTCTAACCTCTGCAAGTAGATTGGGGTTGTGTAGGAGCAGCAGTTGTGTGAATTAAATTAAATCCAATCAATGCAATTCGATAAATGTCATTGAGCACATGTTGGGCGGGAAGCTCTGGGCTAGGTAAGTGTTTGTTCATTAAAGAGCATTCCTGTCCTAGAGAAATTCATAGACAAATCAGAAAGAGGGACACAAATATAAGAGGTAAATTAAATATGTATCTCTAGATAGTGTTAAGGTGACAGAAGGGCTGTTACTTCTACCAGGGAGAAGTAGGATATGGTTTCCAGAGGAGAAATCTTTTTGCCAGAGCAAGGGGGGAGGTGTGTTCCAGAAGGAGGGAACAGCATGTGCCAAATCCTAGAGACTTAAAAGACTGGTCTACTTGGATCGCTAAACCCTGAAAAGACTGAGCAGAATATAAACGGAGGGAGGAAGGAATGGTGGATGATGAAGGTGCAAAGGGAAGCTGAAGCCAGAGTATAAATAAAATTACGTACAATACTACATGGTTAGGAGCTTCTGGAAATCAGTGAAGGTTTTAACTAGAAATGGTCAAGGTCAGATTTAGATTTTAGACAATGCTCTGGTAGAATAATCATAAGAACAATTAACTTTTGTCACTTGCTAACTATTTGCTGGTTATTGTGTACATTACCTATTATCTCTTTTAACTTTGTAACAATACAAACAAGGTATATATTATTCTCATTTTATAGATAATGATGCTGGGAACAAATTAGGATAATGTAACTAGTTTAATATCAAATAGCTAATAAATGGTGGAATCAGTGTTTCAACCCAGAATCTATGGACCTAACTGTGCTATGTTTTGAAACACAGACCCCAATGGGGAGAAAGAGAGACAGGGAAAACAAAAAGAAATAAGAGTTATTATAACAACCCCCAGCAAAGGGAACTATAGCATGGAGAGGAGGTCATAGACTAGTGCAAGGTTTCTGAAGTATAACAGAGGCATCAAATAATTGGAAAGCTCAGGGCCTGGAGACTTTTGGAAGGTATCTAAAGAATTATACAAACATTTACAGAAATGTAGATCTTGACATTATTCATATACATTAATTTTATTTTCTCATTTGAGCCTCACAACAACCTTAAAGAGCGAGGCTATTTCTTCTGAAGACAGTGTTAGCTCTTAATCAATTTTCTTAATTTTCTTAAAAGTATGTGAATTCTACCTTTTAAATTCATATGGATCTTCTTTAATGGGTAAAGAGAAGATTTGTGCTTCAGGTTCTCACTGAAGCAAAGAACCTCTCTGTACTGCACAACTCTTGGCAAAAGCTGGACTGTAGGAAAAAGATGTGTGGAGGTTTACTTCATTCATTCCTCAAATATTTATTGAACACCTACTGTCAGACACTATGCTAAAATCTGGTAATACAACAGCGAAAAAGACAGTATACAGAGTCTCTTTCCACATGGAGTTTGTCAACTGACCCATCTATTGTAGGTTGTAAATTGTGAGACTTGTTAGCCAAATTCAATTAATAAGAGAAGCATGTAGTTTGGTGTTCACTGTTTGTTTAACTTATAAAGCTTTTATTGGGATATATGTTTTCCAGTTGGTCATAAATCCCAAAAGCTCCTTTTGAATAGGACTTCATTTAACAATGTACTTTATTTAACAATGTCTGCTAAAGAGCCAAGATTTTATCCTAGCATTAAGGAAGACTATTGCTGACTCTGTATACTTGAATTTTAATGTTTAGCATGGCCCAGTTCAGATCAATTTCACTGAATTTGGCTTTTAAATTATGCCTTCCACCTACATGGAAGCACACTACAAGTCACAAGATATTCATCATCACATCCATTATTGGGATGCTATTGAGGATAAAGCCCACTGCATCAGTCAGTATCTTATGTATGAAGAACTAGGAGAAAATTTTTTTCTCAGACACTAATACTCTGAAAATTGTTTCATTTCCTGAATAGCTTGTATCATGTGGGCAACAGGAATCCTAGAATTCATTAATTTCCCTATTTGCTTTGGCCACTGGGACTCTTAGAAATATAGGTACAATTCAGCTTTAATAATTATGTAAGATCTTAATGACCTGCATTTTGATATATTACATTTCTCCTTGATGACCTGGAATTCTAAATTTACTTTTCCTTTCTCACACTTCACTAATTTAAAAACAGGTATGTTGCACTGAATATATATAGTGTATAAGCTGTCTTGAATAATTTTTGGTACTAATTGGGAAATAAATTTAAAATAATAAGAAATAAGTAAATAATTGAAAATAATTTAAATATCACCAGATTCAGACAGTGCAGGACTTATTATGGCTTGAAAAAGCCAATACTTTCTCTGTGAAGTTGCTTGTTTTTTCCCCAACCAATCCTCTTAATTAAGACCTCCCCACCCGTTCAAAATGCAACTCAATTTCTACTTTTTGTTAAAGCTATCCCTACTCCTATTATCTTCTGATAATTCTTAGAGGGACTGAAAGAGGACCCTAAAAATGATCACCCAACTAAGATGGAAGTGTCTGAAGATCAAGACATATTCTCACACATATTCCTAGTGAATATGCTTACTGATTAGAATATAGAATAGGCAGCTTTAAATTCTATTTTGAATTGGAATCAAACTTGGAAATGATGGTTTCACTTTCAAATTAGGCCTGCTTATTTATTTATTCTTATAAATACTGACTCCAGACAAATAATATATAGCTAAAGCTCTTTTTAGTAAGCTATGCCAGAGACACTGTGTAGCTTTAATGTAGATGGCACACCTTAAAGGAAGAACTACTACTACAGACTTTGTTAAAACTAAATAATAAGTATTTCATTTTATAGTTTAAGAATGTAACTAAAGTTCATTTCCATACAGTCTTGCTTCTTTTTATTGAGCATCTATTGTGTGCCTAGCAAGTATGCAACTCTGCAGTCAAAATTAGAAAACTGTTATTTGTCCTCAAGTTGGCTTAAAATCTTATGCGAATGGATATATTAGGTTGGATATATGTGAAAGGAAGGTGGTAATAATTGTTTGGAGGTTTGATAAAGCAGCTTAACATAATTGAAGAATAAATGAGTGCCTACCCTAATTCGATCCTGCATTTTCCAGAAACTAACTTCAGTATTAAAAATGAAGCATATAGTTAAATTAATGTTTCAAATTAGTGAATAAATGACAGGTTTTCTAATAAATAATAGGAAAATTATCTCTTTGGAAAATAAATAATACTGTGCAAGCTTGTCTGTATACTGTTTGTTAAAATAAGTTTCAGTTGAATTAAGGACTTAAAGGTAAAAAAAATGAAACCATAGAAATAATAGATTGGTATATACATTATAACCATTTAGCATTTAATAAATGAATATAGAACATATTACTCTTTGATATTTGATGGCCAAAGAAGAAAAAATCAAGGAAAATGTTTATATGAATACATAATTACAAAGTTATTTTTAAACCACATACTTGAAAAATAATTAATTGTGATAAAGAGGCATTTCCATGAAAATATGAATACTCAACATTACACCAGAGGCATGGTATTGCAATAAGACAATTAAAAATGAGGGGGAAACAATAGAAAAGGAACTAAACTTTCCTTATTGCCACATGGTAAGATGTCTGGAAGGAAAGTCCAACAGCATCTCCAAACATACAAGAATACAAGAGAGTCAAGGCCGCTTGCTGGACAGAA